TATATATAAAAGTGTGTGTGTGTGTGTGTGTGTGTGTGTGTGTGTACACACCAGCCTGAATTATGGACAGTAGGAATGCTGGTAGTCAAGCTGATACTTTAAGAAGATCTCAGTCCCGAAGGAGGCAGGGGCAGAGGAATTGGGGGGGGTGAGGGGGGCACATATCTAAGCCTGTTGGGACAGGCTAGACCTTCAGCCAGGCTTCCCTGGATTCTTCAGGGACTCGAGCCCATAAGTTCTTCTTTTTTTTTTTTTAACCAGTCCCTCCCCTGCCACCTCACTTACCCTCTGAGATAAAAAGCAGAGTTCTGAATCTTAGAGACCTGTGAAACAGACTCACTTCCCAATTGCCTGCAGAGAAAAGCGATCTGAGCTCTTTGGGCTGGAGAGGCCGAACAGAGACGATGGTCAGCAGGGCCCGTGTCCTCAGCCTTCCACTTGGCCTTGACAGCTCACCAGGAGGATTCTGGGCCAAGGGCAAGAAGCTGTGGGTGAGGTACTGGAACATTCTTTGCCCTCCTACATCAGCCGAGATTGAACAAACTGTCCTGTCTCAGGTCCTGCTGGGATTTCTCCACGAAGTGAGTTTTTTCTGTTATTTTCCACACATAGCTATATCCGGTTCAGAGCACCATCACCATCATAACAGGTGATCCCGGAGACCAGAGAAGCAGCACAGCGGGGATCCACTTACCCTGCACGTGGCTGACCCCAGGACACCACAAATACTCCCTAATTCCCCACCAGGATCGACCTCCGAGCAGAGAGCCAGGAGAAAGCCCTAAGCTCTGCCGGGTATGACCCAACACCCCCCAAAAAATAAATAAATTTAAAAATTTTCTGGCCTGAAGCTGCTTCCCCGCCTGTCTGTCTGTCTGTCCTCCCGTTGTTCATTGATTTGCTCAAGCGGGCCCAGTAACATCTCCATTGTGAGACTTCTTGTTACTGTGTTTGGCATATTGAATACTCTCGGTAGCTTGCCAGGCTCTCCGAGAGGGGCGGAGGAATCAAACCCAGCTCGGCCGGGCTGGCTGTGTGCAAGGCAAACGCCCTACCACTGTGCTATCACTCCAGCCCTAGTAATTGTTAGTTATGAGTAATAATCTTCCCCACCCCACCCTCCAAAGAGGGTCTGGCGGTACTTAGCCCCCCTCACCCCCTTCTCCTCAGTGCCTGGAACAAGAGCCTTCAGGCTATTCTAACTCTCAAAAGCTTTGGAGGGATCCCAAGTTGGTGCTCAGCAGTGCACCTCAGATACCCAAACACAAAGCTCAATGACCACAGGAGTGAACCAGGAAACAACACGGATCTCTGACGCAGGCAAATAGGATTTCTCAAGAGGAACCAGGCCGGGGGAGACTCCCAGCCTTCTTCCTACCCGTAGAAAGGCCTGCCCCAGCTGGAAACTTCTTTGGGGGCAATTGGGGAGTGTTGGGTCACACCTGGCAGTGTTCGGGGGCTACTCCTGGCTCTATACTCAGGGGACCATACACTGTGTCACAGATCAAACTGGGGTCAGCCACATGCAGGTCAGAGAACCTTATCCATTCTACCTTCTCTCGTGCCCTGGAAGTTCTTTGTATGTCAAAAGCCTGTGCATCTCATGCTTTGAGATTTACCTGTTAACTCTCCCGACCACCACCTCATCGTTGTCTGGAAAAGGATCCCTCTCCCCTTCCTCCCTCCCTCCCCACCTTCCCCCCCCCCTCTGTCTCTCTCTCTGTCTCTCTCTCTCTCTGTCTGTCTCTCTCTCTCTCATAACCCTGTTGTTTTGTAGCTTGGCTCAGTTTTTTCATCAGGCAAAGGGCTTCCACTGACCATAAAAATAGGTACACAGCATCTAAGGTGGTCAGCACTGTGCTGAATAAGAACAGGACAAATGATATGTGTATGACAGATAGAGATAGAGATAGAGAAAGAGACAGAGATAATAGAGAAATAGATTATAGACTGATAGAAAGAGATAATAGAGAAAAAATGATGGATGAGTGGACAGGTAGATAACCGAGAAAGCACATGAGAGAGACTCTGGAATTACAATGCAAAGTCTGCCTTCATATTGTCTCATGAGCAGTGAACACATACACAAGAAGAAGGGGAGAGAGAGAGCAGAGTGCGTGTGTGTATGTGTGTGTGTGTTAAGGCCTCGCTGCTATACCAAAGACCAGGAAGAGGGAGCCCGGAGGACCACACACCCAGAGTTCAAGGCCTGACCTGGAACACAGCCCCTTCACAGCCACTGACTCGCTATGCTGTGCTGCCATGCAGGAGAGTGGGGAGCCCAGAAAGGGCCCAGCAGCTGGCGAGCATCCGGCCGTTTTCGATCATGTGAGAATACATTGGGTGGACAGTTCACAGTGGCCTTCTAGGAGAATAAGTTTGAGAGTCCTGTTGTCCATGAGCTCCAAGGGTCCTCAAGGCCAACTGATGCCAATTCAGGTTCCACCTGGGAGACTAGTTCTGGGCCACTTAGCCAGGTCAAATTTGCTGCTTCCTGACTTTTTTCTTGACTCCCAAGAAAGACAAGACAAGAAAACAGAAGCCCACCATCCATCAAGGGCTCTGTTTCCCAGCTTGTTACAGCTTCTGCCTGCTCCTCGCCAGCCCAAAATTAAACACCGGGTCTCCTTTCCACATGGTTTAAACAACCATTATTCCTTAAGAAAAGTTCAAAGCAAGGAGTTTGTGCAAAGTAGCTAGACTGAAGTCCCTTAAGAAACATACGAGACTGGAGCAATAGCACAGCAGGTAGAGCGTTTGCCTTGCATTCGAGTTCAACCCAACCAACCCGAGTTTGATTCCCAGCATCCCATATGGTCCCCTGAGCACCTCCAGGGATAATTCCTGAGTGCAGAGCCAGGAGTAACTCCTGTGCATCACCAGGTGCGACCCAAAAAAGCCAAAAAAAAAAAAAGAGAGAGAGAGAGAAAGAAAGAAAGAAATATACTCACCAGGGCTGGAGGGATAGTACATCAGGTAAAGCACTTACCATGCATGCGGTTATCCTGGGTTCGATCCCCACATATGGCCCCCAAGCCCTGCTTGGTAAAGGAAAGGGAGGGTTGGGGAAGGGATGGGGAAGGAAAGAGTTTTGGAAGGAAAGGGAAGAGAAGGGAAGAGTTGGAGAAGGAAGGAAGGAAGGAAGGAAGGAAGGAAGGAAGGAAGGAAGGAAGGAAGGAAGGGTTCAAATCTGGGGAACACACTGCACGGGCCTATTACAACCTGACAGCCCAGAAGGGGAGCTAATGGAGCCTGGGGTTTGCTGGAAGAGGGCAGACTGGAGATAGGGATGCATTTTGGCATCCCAGCAGCAGGGTCTGGTTTTCCCTCACTGATAGAGCCTCCCTAAAAGGGTCTGCCTGTCTCCTGCTCACCCCTGTCTCCGGCTCACAACTGTCTCCCACTCATGCCTGTCTCCCTCTCATACCTATCTCTGGCACGTGCCTCTCCTGCAGTGGCTGCGTATAGAAGCTCAGGAGAGGGTCAGCTCATTCTGCAAAGAAAGCCTTCCTGTTTGCATGCCAGAGAGCTGATCCCACAGGAACTCAGGGCCTCTCACAAACAAGTTTGCCCCGTTTGTCATTAAAGTCATTGTCACAGTGGGACCCAAGAGAGAAAAGACTGAAAGTCATAACCTTCCAAGCGCAACCCCAGGAAGAAACTGTTCTAGTCGGTTCAGACAACCATTCAGCCCCTTCTTTGCATTTTTCCTTCTGCCTCATCACCCCCAAGGGGGTCTGATTCCCCAGGAATTGATGATCTGATAACACAGGCCAGCAGGAGATCTGATCACAACCAGGAGGTATGAAGCTGTCTCAAGGGGGGGGGGGTCATACAGGCCTCACAGAGCAAGAGCCAGAGTGCAGGGAGGAGAGGAAGGGTCTTGCACGAAGTTTGCTCTGAGGCGTCCGCATACATACACACACACACACACGCACACACACACACTACATGCACACACATGTATATATACAGTCTGTGGACACACCTGCACAGGCATGTGTGCTCACATAGGATGTGTATTCATATGATGTGTTATGTGCACATGTGTGCAGTACGTGTATTTTACAGGTATGTGCATGTGTACCTGTATGTGAGCCTATGCATGGTACATGCATGTGTGTACATGTGCACATATGCATACATACATATCATGCATGTGGACATAACACCACATGTGTGTATGTGTGCGCACATAGGCATGTGCACATGTGTATCCATGACACAGCATGTGCACATACACATGTGTACCCACTACGAGCACATGCAAATGCAAATATACACAAGAATATATACATGTATTACACAATGCACACAATGCATATACATACAAGTCCACATATTCACAAATACACGTATGCACATATGCACAAACACACAGCAAAGGTTAACACAGTTACACAGTTAACAAGTGATTTTTTTTTTTAAGTTTTTTGGGTCACACCCGGCAATGCTCTGGCGTTACTTCTGGCTCTGCACTCAGGAATTCCTCCTGGTGGTGCTCAAGGTTATATGGGATACCAGGGATTGAACCCAGGTCAGTAGCGTGCAAGGCAAACGCTCTACCCACTGTACTATCGCTCCAGTCCCAACAAGTGAAATTTTGAGTGTCCTCTATAGTACGCATTTTTAGTTCTGGAGATAATAGACGTCCACAGAAGTCAGTCATCTCCCATAAGTAACCTCCAAGCACCTATGCTCAGCTTCCGCAATTACCTTTTTTGTTTCATTTTCAGTGAACCTTCTGAGGACTGTACAACAAACATCAAACACCTCTCCTTCATCAATGAAATGAGGCTAACAAAACCGTTTCTGAAATATCACGAAAAGATGGCAGTAGTCCCTACTCTCAAGCAAGCCAGGAACAGTTTGGAGCGAGACACGGTCAGTCTAGCCCACTGACCCGCTCCAGTGTGCAGCTGGAGCAGGAAAACGGGGAGCCGCGGGCCCACTAACCCTCAGGGCTGCTTCGTGACTGAGCATCCAGGGTTGCTGGCCGGGAGCGGGGCGCGGCGGAGGAGCCCCTGAGAGCTGGAAGCCTCGGGGCGGTTGTTGTAGGGGCAGCGCTCCGGGGGGTGTCGGGGGCCAGAGATGCAGCCCGGCCTCGGGACCTGCAAACTGCGGTAAGAGAGTTGGGGTGGGAGTGCGCGGCTCCCGGCGAGGGTCGCGAGAGATCTAGGGCTGGAGGAGCGGAGGGCAAGGTCAGGCGGGGGCGGGGTGGGCGCCGGCTGTCCAGCCCCGCGGTCGGGCGCGGCCCAGCAGGTGCAGCGCGGGGTGGGGCGCGCGGGCTGCCAGAGCGGAGGCGGAGGTGAGCGCGGGCGCTGGAGACCCGGACCTGGCGCGGGGCGCCGGGTTTTCCGGATGCGGGAGAGCGATCGGGGAGTGGGGAGGGGGAGGAGTTGCTGAATTCAGCAGTGGGGGGTGGATGTGGGGGGGCCTGGGTCCCGACCCCCGGGAAGGCTCAAACTGGGAAACCAGACGGACGCCGCTGGGCACGGGGGCGGGAGATGACTGGCGGGGTGGGCACGCGGCCTGGTAGAGGGGCACGGGCCGGGGGATCCCGAGTAGGTGCGCAGATCCGGGTGGGGTGACGGGTGCCACAAGAAGGCCTGGGGTGGGGGTGAGCCGAGTGGGCGGAGGCATTCTCAAGGCGGGTGCTTGCAGGAAGGGGTCCGAAGTGCAAGACCCCGCCGCGGCCGCCGACACGCGTCCGAGGCCCGGAGGCCGCCGGGCTGCCCACCCCCCCCCCCCCCCCCGGACCCCCCACCCCCGCGAGCCGGGGCCTTTTCCCGACCGCGGTGGCTTTAAGGGTGCCGCCAGGCGTGCGGGCCCTTTAAGAAGGGCTCGGGGGGCGTGTCAGGAAGTGAGTCGTGGCCCCGCCCCGCCCGGGGCAGCGCGGCCGCCAGAGAGCGGAGGCCGCGGGCGACTGACCGGGGATCCCGGGTGCCCACCGGGGCGGCGCGCGGGGCACGTGCAGGGTCCGCTCCCTGAGCACCGCCGGGCGCCGCCGGCCGCCCCCCGCGCCCCGCCGCGGCCCCCGCGCGCCTCGGCCTCTCCCCGCAGCGGCCTCGCCTGCAGGCCGGCCGCCCCTGCCCGGGTCCTGGCTTTGCGTCCCTCTCTTCCCTCTTGGTCCATGCCTCCGCCGCCCTCCCGGCCCCTTCTCCGCAGGCCATCGCGGTCCCACCCGAACGTGGCCCTTAGCTGGCCCCTCCCCGCTTCTCTGCTGGGAGGGGCAAGGAGGTGGGTCGTGGGGCTCAGCCCAGAAGCAGACCCTCTGGAACCCAGCGGGAGGTGGACAGGCCTCTAGGCTGTGGGGCACCCCCACCCCCTTGATCGACGTTGTAGCAGAAAGCAGAAGTGAGCTCTCTTAACTCCGGGGTGACCACCCCCTCCACCCCGACCCCTCCTCTGCCACCATGAACAGGGCCCCTCTGAAGCGGAGCCGGATCCTGCACATGGCGCTCATGGGGACAGCTGACCCCTCCCGAGAGGCCAGCGAGGCGGCGACGCCCTTTGTGCTGCGGGCCCTGCAGATCGCGCAGGTGGTCTGCCTCTACTGGGTCACCTCCATCTCCATGGTGTTCCTGAACAAGTACCTGCTGGACAGCCCCTCCCTGCAGCTGGACACCCCCATCTTTGTCACCTTCTACCAGTGCCTGGTGACCGCCCTCCTCTGCAAGGGTCTCAGCACCCTGGCCACCTGCTGCCCGGGCGCCGTGGAGTTCCCCACCTTGCACCTGGACCTCCACGTGGCCCGCAGCGTGCTGCCCCTGTCGGTGGTCTTCATCGGCATGATCACCTTCAATAACCTCTGCCTCAAGTACGTGGGCGTGGCCTTCTACAACGTGGGCCGCTCGCTCACCACCGTCTTCAACGTGCTGCTCTCCTACCTGCTGCTCCGCCAGACCACTTCGTTCTACGCCCTGCTCAGCTGCGGAGTCATCATCGGTGAGTGGAAGAGCTGGGGGGGATGCTGGGAGACTCTTATCAAGCCCAGCTTCCTCCTTTCCAGCCCTCAGGAGGCTCAGAGACAGGAAGTCACTTGCTTGAGTTCACTTAGCTTGGGAGTGGAGTGGGGGGGGGTCCACCCCATTATGATCCACAAGGTGGGATCATAATCTGGCTTTCATGCAGGGACAGTCAGCGGCACAAAGAAGTTCGGTGACTTGTCCAAGATCGCACGTGACAAGTGGCTGAGATGGGACCTGATCTCTGGCAGCCAGACTCTTCTCGGTAGCCTCCCAGGAGCTGCAGGCAGGGGCCTTCGCTCCTCCTCCGCCTGTGGTTTCCTCTAACTCATGGAACTCTCTGGCCTTGCAGGATAATGCCTGCGCTGATGGCAAGAGATACACTTTGACAAGTCTTAGTGGTCTCCCCAGACTTGGCCCTCAGAAATTGGCCACTTTTTCTTTTCTTTGTTTGTATTACTTTGGGGCCACACCCAGTGGTGCTCAGGACTCACTCCTGGCTCAGCCCTCAGGAGTCACTCCTGGCAGGGCTCAGGGGATCATAGCGGGTGCTGGGGATCAAACCCAGGCCTACCCCCTTTGTACTATCGCTCTCATCCTCAGAATAATCATTCTTGGTGGGTGACATCTCCTTTACCCCAGGTGGTCCCATCTCCCTGACCCTCCCGTATAGATGAGGCAACTGAGGCAGAAGAAGTTTAGAGAAGTCCAGTGATGTACTGAGGCCCACGCCCCTATGGCAGGCAGCAGGACGCAAAGCCCAGGCTCTGTTCTTGGCCTGTCCACCCGCCAGACTCAGCCTTTGGCCACACTCACCCACGCGAGAGCCTGTATCTGGGGACCCGACCTGGGGTGCAGTGTTGGAAATTCAGTTTTTCAGGCGCCTGCGTTGCCAGTGCTGTAAGCTGATTCCGTGGCTGTATTTCAAGTGCTCGGTAGCCGCCCAAGGCCTGTGGCTGGTGTAGTGGCCCGTGCAGGTTCTCGAATAGCACCATGGAAGCGGATGTCCCCTCGGGGACAGAGACAAAGCTCAGTGGCAGAGGGGGTGCTTTGCACGTTCCGGACTCCGTCCTGGGTAGCATGCCCAGAAGTTTGCGTAGGCAACACCATAGGTCAGAGCCCTCTCCTCACCGCACAGCCTGGTTCCAGGGGTTCTGCCGTGTGGGAGCGGGAACGTGAGCTGTAGATCTGAACCTGGCCAGGTGGTTCCTGCCGAGGTACAGTTGATGCGAGCTGGCCTACATCTGTTTCCATGCTGGCCCCGAGCTCAGGCTGGGATGCTCCAGTTGTGGGGAAGTTGCGTCCCTTGCCGCCTGGCCTAGAAAAGCATTTCCATCATGGGTCCCTTGCTGGGTCCAGGCCCGAGATGGGAGCTGGGCTGCGAGAGGGACCGCGGAGACCCCTGGCGGACCTCCCGCCCACAGGGGAGCAGGACCGGGGGTCCCAGGCCTCAGGCCTCCTGAGCCTGTGGGAGAGGAAGCAGCGGCTCTCACGGGAGAAACTGTGAGTTCCAGAAAGTGGTTGAGAAAATGTTCGGATGGGAATCCAGTCGCTGGCGATGAGATGCTTTCTGACAAGGGGCATCATCAACTACTGTAGGGACCAGGTGCTGAAATTGGGGCTCCCTGAATCCCCCCATTCTGCAGGGTCTCCTCTTCCTTACCCCCATGGGGAAGCCCACCTCCTCCTCCCCCAACCTCTTCCTTCCTTTCCTTCTTCTCCCTCTCCTCCACCTCCTTCTCTTCCCTCCTCCTGGCCACCAGAAAGGAGCTTCTTAGGAATCTCCGATCTCGTCTATCCCACCTTTTTCTTTTTTTTTTTTTTTATTTCTTTTTGGGTCACACCCAGCACTGCTCAGGGGTTACTCCTGGCTCATGCACTCAGGAATTACTCTTGGCGATGCTGGGGGACCATATGGGATGCTGGGGATCGAACCCAAGTCGGCCCCGGGCAAGGCAAACACCCTACCTGCTGTGCTATCACTCCACCTACCCCACCTTAAATCCACCTCCCATTCTCGTGGCCACCCCAGGGACTGCCTCCGTCCAGTCCTCATGCTGAAAAGCCCATCAGTCTGCGGCTGGGCTCAGGAGGAGACTCAAACCGAGGAGGGGCCTGAGTTTGGAGAAGATTCAGAAGGTGGGGTGAGGCAGGCAGGGGGGCCTTAAGGCAGGATGAGCGTGATCCCTGAAGATGCCCGCAGCGCATTCTAGTGGCCAGGTGGAGCAGGGACTGACTGCAGCCAACAGGTAGGGGAGCTCAAGAGGAGTCAGGTGGACTTTACCCCAGCCGACCAGCCTCCAGGTGGCAGACGCCAAATCTCTCTCAGACTCTCCTGGTTTTCCTCCTCCCCAGATGCTGTGGTGGGAGATATAGGAGGGGCACATCCCCTGCTAGTCCTCTGGGAAGGTGGGCTGTGGCTGTGCCATCCCCATGGACAGCCCAGAGCTCACCCAAGTAGAGTTGTGGAGGTTCAGTTTCACCCTTGGCAGAAACCAACGCTCAGCCTGAAATCAGGTGTCCCGGGGCTAAGTCTCCACCATTCAGACATCGCCTTTCCAGAGGCTCCAGGGTTCTCCAAGCTTCCCTATTGGTTTATGACCTCCTTAAAATTGTAATTAAAAAGTAACGGGAATGGCAGGCGCCCTGCTCACCTTGAACTGCAGGTAGACCTGGTGGATCCCCAGGCATCCCATAAGATCCCCCTGGACACTGCCAAGAGTAGTGCCTGAGGGGCTGGAGTGATAGCACAGTGGGTAGGGCGTTTGCCTTGCACAGGCGACTCGGGTTCCATCCCCAGCATCCCATATGGTCCCTCAGCACCGCCAAGAGTAATTCCTGAGTGCATGAGCCAGGAGTAACCCCTGAGCAGTGCTGGGTGTGACCCAAAAAGAAAAAAAAAAAAAGAAAAAGGTGGGATAGACGAGATGGGAGATCCCTAAGAAGCTCCTTTCTGGTTGCCAGGAATAGAAGGAGGTGGAGGAGAGGGAGAAGGAGAAGGTAAGGAAGGAAGAGATTGGGGGAGGAGGAGGTGGGCTTCCCCGTGGGGGTAAGGAAGAGGAGACCCTGCAGAATGGGGGGATTCAGGGAGCCCCGACTTCAGCACCTGGTCCCTATAGTAGTTGATGACGCCTTGCACGAAGCCGATGCCTTGCACGCAGTTCGATTCTCAGTATTCCATATGGTTCCCCACCACAGGAAGCTCTTGAGTGCTTGAGCCAGGAGGAACCCCTGTGCATTGCCGGGTATGACCCAAAGAGAAGAAAAAAATTAAGAAAGGAATAGTGCCTGAGTGCAAAACCAGGTGTGTCCCCAAACAAACAAACAAACAAACAAAAATAACAAGGAAAGAAACCCCCGCCTTCCTGCTATGGAATGGAACTGGGCGGATTCAGGACACGCAGACCCACTCAGCTCTCCCCTTCCCCTTCCTCTCCCCACTCCAGGGGGCTTCTGGCTGGGAGTGGACCAAGAGGGAGCAGAGGGCACCCTGTCTTGGGTGGGCACCCTCTTCGGCGTGCTGGCCAGCCTCTGCGTCTCGCTCAACGCCATCTACACCAAGAAGGTGCTCCCGGCGGTGGACGGCAGCATCTGGCGCCTCACCTTCTACAACAACGTCAACGCCTGCGTCCTCTTCCTGCCGCTGCTCCTGCTCCTGGGCGAGCTGCAGGCGCTGAGCCGCTTCCCGCTGCTGGCCAGCGCCCACTTCTGGGCCATGATGACCCTGGGCGGCCTGTTCGGCTTCGCCATCGGCTACGTGACGGGGCTGCAGATCAAGTTCACCAGCCCCTTGACACACAATGTGTCGGGCACAGCCAAGGCATGTGCCCAGACGGTCCTGGCCGTGCTCCAGTTCGAGGAGACCAAGAGCTTCCTGTGGTGGGGCAGCAACTTGCTGGTGCTGGGCGGCTCCTTCGCCTACACCTGGATCCGAGGCTGGGAGATGAAGCGGACCCAGGAGGAGCCCGGCCCCAAGGAGGAGAAGAGCAGCCTGGGGGTCTGAGTTCACCCTGAGGACCCTGCCCTGCCGGGCACGTGACCCGAGGGGGCCTCCCTGGACTGGACTGAGAGGGCGGGCCCCCAGCCCGCCCTAGGGGGTGACCGGGGGCCTGGTTTACAGAGCTCTTGATCAGAATCTGGCCGCTGAAATGCCTGTCTTGACCCCTTTGTTCCAGGATTTATTTTTGTCCTCCCACCCTGCCCCCAAGGGTGGCGGGACCCCCGCGGGAAGAGCCAGTTAGGTTCTCCAGAAGAGCTTCAGCTCTTAGGGTGGAGGATGGGGGGCAGCACCCCCTGGACACCCCCGTGCCTCGGCCTTCTACCTCCATGTGTCCTTCAGGGTTGGGGTCCATACTGGTGAAGTCGCTGGTCTGCACTTACTCTCAGGGCAGCTGGGGGCACCCCATCACAGGCCACCCCAGGGCATCCAGGGCGGGTGGGCAGCATCACCTGGGCCCTCAGAGCAGCCCCCCTTGGCACAGAATCACAGGCTGGGCCCCGGGAGGAGCCGCACACACATGCCTCTCTCCCATGTGGACCGGCAGGCCCTGTGGAAAGGGGTGAAGGGTCTGGTGTCCCCCTGCTAGCTCTGGTGCCTCCGGGCCCTGCTGGGCAGGAGCCAGGGAGTGGGGTCCACCACGAGCAGGTGCCCTTTTTCCCCATCATCGGCACATAGGAACCACACATGTGCTATGGTTCTGGCTAAGCAAGGGCATGAACCATGCCCCACCCCTCCAGGCACCCCCCACCCCCGGCACTGGTTTTCCTGCCCCCAAGGTGTCAGGGCCCCTCTGCCATCCCTGGCCCCTGCCCAGGACCTGGCTCAGGTGACCGCCTCCTGGAGGTGAAGGTCCAGGAGCTGCTCTGCCTTCTCCCCTCTCCAAATGCTTTAGCCCCCGACAGGGCCGAGGGACCCCGGCCCCCATCCCTGGGGCGGGGGGGCAGGTTCTACAACAGAACCGAACCAGAGCCTTCTCTTCGGAGGTGAGGATGCTTGTTCCCCACCTAACCACGGGCATCTCTCACCAACCTGTCCCTTCTGGGGGCACTATTCTACCCCTCTTGTGAGGGATAACTCCTCATGTTTCAAGCCAAGGCTGGGGAGGAGGGTGGGTTTTCTACCAGGACCCCCCAGAATCCAGCTGGTTTCTAATGAAGTTGGGTGGTAGGGTATGATTTCATTAAAAATCCAAGGAAGATTCTCTTTGTGTGTGTGTGTGTGTGTGTGTGTGTGTGTGTGTGCGCACGCGCGCACAGTGTGTATGTGATCATCAGGTGTTTCTGTGTGTGTGTGTGTGATCCATCAGGTGTCTGTGTGTGTGTGATCAGGTGCCACTGTGTGCATGTGTGTGTCTGTGTGTGTGTGTGATCATCAGGTGTCTGTGTGTGAGTGTGTGTGTGTGTGTGTGTGTGAGATCATCAGGTGTCTGTGTGTGTGATAATCAGTTGCCTGTATATGTTGTGTGTTGTGTGTGTGCACGCGCGCGCATGTGATTATCAGGTGACTGTGGCTGTGTGTGTGTGCGTGTGTGTGTGTGTGTGTGTCATGGCCTGAGAAGTGGAGGCCAAACAGGGCCCTTCTGAGCAGAGGGTGGACAAACCCAGCCCCTTCCAGGGAGACGGCACAGACACACCCACCTCCCCACCCTGCTCTTTTATTGCTGTTGACTTCCGGCTGGAGGCAGGCCTGTGCTGTGCTCACACTGTTACAGCTCCCCCATGATACATTCAGAAGCCTGCCCATGGGCCAGGTTTGGGGATTCTGTGACCCCACGTGCGTGTTTGAGTGGGGGTGCCAGCCACAGTGTAAAAAACTGGGACCTTGCCCAGAGCAGTGGCAGCAGAGATGGATGAGGAAAGGGGGGGCAGGGGGAATCTCCAGACCCTGCAGACCCACATGAGAACCAGGGAGGATGGACCTGTGACAGGCTGTTAGACCAAGGCTGGGGAGAGAGTTTGGGTCTGATAATCCAGATCTGTCAAGTTCAAGCTATGTGGGGGGTGGGACATGCAGAAGCGGGGGGCTGGGGATGTGGTGGGACTGGGAGAACACACCTCCCATGTGCAAGGCTGTCGGTCCCATCCCTGGCAGCACAGGGAACATCCACACACAGGTCTTTCCTGGGTGCCATGCCCCCTACACAGCAAAGCTCCCCAGGTGCCCTTTCTGCAGCCAGACTGGATGTGACCTTGGGGCTTGTGTTTTCAAAAGACTTCCTCTGTCGAAGTCCAAGACCTGAGACCGAGACTGGTAAAGGATAAGCTGTGGGTAAAAATAGCCTCCCCACCCCCACTCTGAGGGTTCGGGAGAAACTGAAGTGGGCAAGGCTTTTGCCCTATATGCGGCTGACTCAACTTTGATCCCCAGCACCCCATGTGGTGCCCTGAGCCCTGCCAGGAGTGATCCCTGAGTGCAAAGTCAGGAGTGAGCCCTGAGCACTGCCAAGTGTCGCCCAAAAAGAAAAGTTAACTTAAAAATAGAGCTGCTAGGAGTGGGTTTAAGACACTTGCTTTGCACAGTGTCAACCCAGGTGCCACATTTAGTCCTCCAGCTCCGCCAGGAGTGACCCTTGAGCACAGAGCCAAGTGTAAATCCTGAGCATTGCTGAATGTTGCTCCCTGCAAAACTCTCTCTCTCTCTCTCTCTCTCTCTCTCTCTCTCTCCACAATAAAAGAACCCCTGCTCACAAAAATCTGTATAACACCGTTGAGACAGCTTCGAATTACAACTTTTAAAATATTAATAACTAAAAATCCAAAAGGGCATTGGCATTCATTCTTCCCAGAAATATTTCTGGCGTGCCTCCCATATGCCAGGTATCCATCAGAGATGCAGAGGAACCACAGCCCCTGTATCCTTGGAGCATAGTCAGAAAAGAGGGACAGTCACAAAGAGATGCAAAATAAATAATGCATAATGCATGCCGCAGAGATAGGGCCTCCTTAGGGGACAGAAAGTGTGGGAATATTAAGTTTAGGGGAGCAGGGAAAAACTGTGTCAAGATATGACTGAAGAATTAAATCCAGGGGCCGGAGCCATCATCCAATAGGGATGATATTTGCCTTGACCTATTGTTCGGCCCCCGGCATCCCATATGGTCCCCCAAGCACCTCCAGGAGTAATTCCTGAGTGCAGAGCCAGGAGTAGTTTCTGAGCATTGCTAGGTGTGACCCGCCCCCTCCCCCCAAAAAAATTAAATCCAGGGACTTACATCAGTAGCACATGACTCTATGTGAGGTCCTGGCTGGGTTCTGATGCTCAGCACTGACAGAGAGGAAAAAAGAAAAAGAAAAGAAACACAGGTGGCAAAGGAGTCATCAGGGATCGGAACGTGCAGGCAGGTGGATCAGTGGGCACCATGCCCCCACCCCAGCGGCTGGAGTGTGGTTGATGGGGGCGGGGGAAGAAAGGGCCAGCAGGGCTGAGGGATGATGAGAAGCAAGATCAGCGGGGGTTGCAGCACTTGGCTTGGCAGTAGAGCCTTGCAGGTGTGAGTCCCTGGGTTCCAATCTCAGTGCCACAAAGACACTGAACAAGAAGTGATGGGCAGTAGGGGGTAAATGACCGTATTGCTTCCACATCTCTGGGCATTGACTGAAAACACGGCTAGAATAGCTAGAATGATGTGTTCCTGTTTTACCACCTTCCATTCTTCCCCGGCCCCTTGGCACTGCCCCCATCTCACCTCCCTTCACCTGGGAACCTGCCCTGACCAAAGAAATACAAGAGAAAGGAACATTCTGAACTTCTAAGGCCAGGACAAAGGACTTCCAAGCTGTGCTGAGAAGTCGGCTCCATCTCTCCCCCTACAATCTCCAGGAAGCTCATGTGAGCCCCTGGGGAAGGCACAGAGAGAGCAAGAAGCCGGGCAGCTGGCCCACGTTCCCGCCTGTTCAGCACTGCCCCCCACAGGGAGACGGGCAGGGGCACCTCCCATCCACCCACAGGATCTGGAGCAAAGGAAGGTCATGTAAACCGCTGCATGGATCCAGGGGGGTTGACTGAGTAAAGAGAGGGGGGCCTTGAGCGCAAGCTGGAGTTTCTTTTGGAATTTCAGGAAGATCAGAGATGCGGCCAGGAGAGCAGGGACCCCAGATCCTGTGTCTATGGGAGCAGGGCCCCCACCTTCCTGCCAGAGGGCCCCCTGAACGTGCCCCAACCGTCTATGGCTCATTGGGGTCTGATTGCTCAAGTTCCTGGGGCAGGATGTGATTGGACCAGTGGCCCCCTGCAGGCCAGGGACAGCCACCCACTGGCTCTGGAAACCAATCTCCCCAAGATACGGGGTCCACCTCCCCAGATGTGCCTTCACTCAGTCCCTGCCCCCACGGCCAGCCCTGACTTCTGTGAAAAAGCTAAATTCAGACCCTGAACTGACAACCCTGACCGCAGAGCCTGCTACCTGATGCCACAGGCGTGCAGGGAGCTTAGTCAGAGGCAGGTGGTATGTGAGTGTGGGGGAAGGAGGAAGGAATGGTGGGGCACCCATGATGGGGGCCCATAGACCATCTCTGAGCACCCAATGGGTATGTATTATCAATCACAACCATCCTGTTATTCGTCACTTGCCTCGAGCAGGCCCCAGTAACGTCTCCTTCGTCTTAGCCCTGAGACTTTTAAATAAAGTGCCATATTCAAGGCTCTTTCAGAGTTAGGAGAATGAGACCCTTTATTGTTACTGGTATTTGGCATATTGGGTACGCCACGGGGAGTTTGCCAGGCTCTGCCATGTGGGTACGTATTTTACATATATATATGGGGGGGGGGGCTAGAGCGATAGCACAGCAGTAGGGCATTTGCCTTGCACGCAGCTGACCTGGCCGAGTCGGGTTCAATTCCTCCGCCCCTCTCGGAGAGCCCGGAAAGCTACTGAGAGTATCTCGCCCACACGGCAAAGCCTGGCAAGCTACCCACAACATATTTGATGTGCCAAACACAGTAACAAGTCTCACAATGGAGACGTTACTGGGCCCACTCGAGCAAATTGATGAACAACGGGAGGACAGTGCTACAGTGCTATCTATGTGTATAGTCTCTTTGGATCATACCCCAGTGAGCTCAGGGGTTGCTTCTGGTTCTGCACTCAGGAATTACACCAGGCAGTGCTCGGGGAACCATACAGGATGCCAGGAATCAAACCCAGTTTGGTTGTGTGGAAGGCAAATGCCTTCCCCACTGTACTATTGCTCCAGCCCCACTAGTCACTTTCTAATCATTTCTATCACTTCCTAGGTTTATCCTAGTCCCTTCCTAGCTGCCCTTTAATCACTTCCTACCCATATCCTGATCACCTCGATATTTCCTAGCCTTCCTGTCACTTCCTATATATTTCTGCGCTCTGTCTCCTGCCCCCGCGCCTGGCTGTCCTCACCGGGTCCCCTTGGAGGGGGGAGGGTTGAGTTTCTCTCCCCCTCCCCGGCCCCGAGCAGAGCCCCAGCAGCTGAGGACCTCCGGAGTCAGCCACGGCCATGCTGGGACCACTCTCCACACGTCCGGACGGGCCTCATGCATGAAAGAACTGGCAGAGGAACCCAGGCATGCGGGTCCTGGGGCTGAAGTCTCCAAGCCTACTTGGATTGGAACTGGGCCTTCTCCACCCAGACCCTCCATCTTCCAGTAGGTAGGTGTCACACCCACCAGCTGCCACCAGCGCCAGGTTGGTCCCATCAACGGCCAAGACGCAGAGACTATAAAACCCAACTCCCAGAAGTGCGTGGCCGCATTTGCAGCCGCATGACATCTTATTATCTTATTTTTCCTTTGGAGAACCTGGCAGGCTACCAAAAGTATCCTGTCCGCATGGCAGAGTCTGGCAAACTTCTCATGTTGTACTCAATATGCCAAATACCAGTAACAATGATTGGTCTTATTCTCCTAATCCTGAAAGAGCATTGAAATGGCTCTTTTAAAATATCAGGGCTAGGAAGAAGGAGACGTTACTGGTGCATGCTCAAGGAAATCGACAAACAACAGGATGATCGTGATCGTGATTGTGTCCTAATCATTTCCCAGGCACTCAGCAGGAGGCTCTGCTCCTCTCAGCCTCAATTTCCTCTTCTGTATATGCCTGCAACACCCCTCTGATCACCACTGAACCGGCATGGTGATATCAGATCTGGCT